GGGGGGAGAATGTTAGAGTTACAGTTACAGTTACAGTAGGTAGTGTTGCCATTTTATTCATTTATTTTTTTGATTCCCTTGGAAATGATCCAGTACTTGGAAGTATCTTAGTACTACCTAGGTAGGGTAGGAAATGAGAATTAGTGTACTGTGCCTATTTGCTGTAGGTACTTACGAGTATAGTAATCTGACTTACATACCCTCCGTACCTATAGTAAGTAAGCAAGTAAGTAAGCAAGTTTTTCATAGCTATAGAGTACGGGTAGAATTTAAAAGGAAGTAAGGAAGGAGGAAGGAAGTGAGGAAGGGAGTGGGTGGGGGAAGTAAGTGGTGGAGTGGTATACATTTACCTACCCTAACCTAACCTACCTGACCTAACCTACCTACCTACCTAACCTACCTACCTACCTAACCTACCTACCTACCTAACCTACCCTTAGAATACCTATAACTATACTATATATACCTACCTATCGTTATAAGAAAATCTCTCGGATATATATAGCTAGCTAGCTGACTTTACTCTTTATTTTCTTTTCTTTTCTTTTTTTCACTTTTACTTTTTTTCACTTTTTCTTTTCCTTTAACTCTTACTCTGAAAGAAGATTAGTGAGAGTAGTGAGAGTAGAGGGAGTAGTGAGAGTAGAGGGAGTTGAGGGAGTTGAGGGAGTTGAGGGAGTTGAGTTGAGTTAAGGTAATCTAACGTTAACGGTTAGGTTTTATGTCATTTTAATCCTTGGAAGTCTGGAAGATCGTTGGTGCTGTACGTAATCTTACTATATGTATCTACTATACTATAACGGACGTATAGTACTGGAACGGACGTATAGTACTAGAACGGACGCATAGTACTAGAACAGACGGACGTATAGTTACAAGTACTTTACCTTACGGTCCTTACCTTCCCTTATATAATAAATAGCCTGATTAGATTAGAAAGATAGTTACACAGTTTGAACTTTAATTTGAACTTTGGACTTGGGACTTGGGACATGGGACATGTGACTTGGGACATGGGACTTGTGACTTGGGACATGGGACTTGGGACTTGGGACTTGGGACTTTGTGATATAGGAGGAAAAGGAAAAGGAGGAAATGATCGAATCGAGAGGGAAGCTAAGGGGAAAAGGGAGGAAAGTGGTATTATGGTATACTCTACCTACATACATGTACCTCTTCTCTTCTCTTATGTTTTGCTGTACGTATTTCCTGTATAGTGAAGATTTTCTTGATTTATTCATGGAGGAAAGATTAGGAGGGGGGGTTTTTGGAGGAATTAATTATGAGGGGTCAAGTGTTGTTGATGATTGCTTGCTTGCTTTTACGTGACCCTTTTGCTTTGAGATAGGTAGACTAGTAAACTACAAGAGTGACTCTCCTAGAACAACCTCATATCTACTCTCGCCAACCTCTTATTCATCCGTCTCCCTCCCAATCTCAAGTACAATCTCAGCCAGCACATCCATCCTTCTCTCCCCCCTTCTTCCTCCACACCCAATCTTCGCCTATGAAAACTGGTTCCATAACCTCAAATCACCGCCTCAACCCAGCTCCCAACCTCTCAATCTCCATCCCCTCCACCGTCCCCACCCCCGCAGCAGCCCTCAACCGATCAACCGTCTCAACGTCCTTAATCCTCACCGCCTCCTCCGCAGCCTTAACCCTCATCCCACACTTCTCATACATCTCAATGATCTGCTGGGGCTCCACCTCCCCCGCACACTTCGGCACGAAGATACTCGCCAACTTCGGGTTACCCGCGGATAGAATGAGTGCGAAGAATGGTTGCCAGCCGATGGGACTCTTTCGTGTCTTGGAGAGGTCTTCGAGGTCGCTCCAGGAACGGGCGGAGACTTGTGCGCGGAGACGGATCCACCAGGTGATTTTGTCGGGGACTTTGAAGTCGGAGGAGAGTTTCTTTGCGCGTGAGGCGTAGCCGGATTTGATGAGTTTGAAGATGGTTTGGTGGAGCGAGAGGCCGGTGAAGGATTCGGTGAGGTCGCTGTCGAGGAGTTCTTGGTGTTTGAGGAGACTTGAGGTTTCCTGTATGTTTTTCTGTTGGAATGATAGTTCTTTGGTGTCGGAAATGAGTTTTGTGGCGAGGGCTAGTTTGTCCAATGTGCTTTGTGGATCGGGTTGACGAAGAGATTCGCGGATAAAAATGTTGGCTCCATCGAGACGGCGGTCATCTTGGTAATAGAGATCTTTGAGGAGTTCGGAGTCTTCGTTTTGGGCGGACGACTCGATGAGAGCGGTTGCCGTTGGGCGGGTATTGATTACTCGGAAGAAAGAGGCGAGGGGGAGTTTCTTCTTTAGGTGGAGCAGGACGAAGAATATCAAGTCCGAGTCACCGCTCTCAATGGCTTTGTCTAGGGCGATTTCGTCTTCTTCCATGGAGAGGAGTAGAGGTACTTGTTTTCCGGCACGGGGCTCGTGGTTGAGAAGTTCCGTTGCAAGACGACCACGACCTTCATCATAGGCTGCTCGGGCAATTTCTTCAAATGAAATACCACGCTTTCCTTCGAGTTTGGAGACAATCAACCGACATATAGTGTCTTCATCTTCGGTACCAACACGAACTTTCTGAGAAGCCCAGTGGACGTAAATACGATCTGTAGGGAGACGGAGGTAGGTTGAGATACGAAGGGCAAGGAGGTACTCTCGACGATTGATCAACCGACGAACAAGATTCTCGGGTGTAAGTCGGATAAATTGTTCGTAGGAGAGTGGTATACCAATCTCATAGAATCGGACCGCATTGAGTACTCGTAGAACTTCACACATATCCACGAAATCATCGCTGTTATAAATATCAAGGACTGATTTGCCAAAAGAAGCAGCTTTTAATAACTGCTTTTGCCAATGGATGTTAAATTCATGCCCTGCTGCTTTTACCTGGTAGAGGTTAGATTGGCACGAGCAGTACGGGAAAGTAAGAGACTCACGCAAGTATCAACAGCCTCCACCAAGCTAGGGCGTATTAACTGTATGTTATCATCTGCTTTTGGTGATTGGTTCTCAAGCTGCTCCACTGCATCGAGAAGTATAGATGCCGATGACTCGGTACCAAAACGGAAAACCTCATCTGTAACTTCAGGCACTTTTTGAAGGAAGTCACAAACATCATTTGTAATGAGTCGAACACCATCATGATCTGCAATCAAGTGAACCCGCCCATCATAAAAGTATCTGGCTGCAGCGTTCTTTGGTCCAATAACATGAACCTCGTCTTCCCAAGCAATAACTACAGCATCATTCCCACACCATTGAACATCCTTGGGCGAAATTTTCGATCGAGAATCATGTTCACTGTATCTGGTTTGGAAATCGCTTGTAATAACATACGCTTTTCCACTTTCCGTGTAGAGTGCCACGAACTTCCCGTTTGGAGAGACACTGATATGCGTAAATGGACCAATGTCGAGAAGCCGGTCTTCAGAGTCTATTTCATCTACAACATAGATTGTGTTGGAGATGCTTAAAAGGACTTCGACAGAGCGCGAGAGGGTATACGCTGGTGGGATGAGAGTCCATGAATAGACATCACCTTCTGGGGGTGTTGCAAGAAGTTTTGGCCGGGGTTCCTCATACCGACTGACGGATATTAAATGGTTATTGGTAAGCAAAGCTACAAAGCCAGTGCCGTAAAATCTATTGCAATGTAAGTTTATACTTGTCAAACTTCACTCCGAAAGGAACTCAAACCTGCACTCCTTTACTCCATACTCCTCGGCCCCATTTCCGAGGGAAAATTGCGTGAACTCTCCTTGGAGATCATAATAACAACGTACTGTCCCATCGGCGGTGATTACGATTAGTTTCTCATCTTCAGACCATCCAAGACCTTTGATAGAACCCTTCTCCCAATTTATTCGTCTAATTAGCTTCCCAGCACAACTGTACAGGTCGATGCTTGACTTGGAGGCTTGGGTTCCCCGAAATGAATGTAGTTTTGATTCATCTCGGTGTAATGCTATAATTTGAGAGCGAGTCAGCTAGTATTCTCGGTCCAAATTGACAACACACGGCATCAAGAAATGTGTATATAGCGCCACGTGATGAGGTAAGTTTCCAGCTGTTTTTGCATGTACAAGGGAATCTTGGGATCAATACATCCGCACCGTAATCAGTCTCTCTTTCAAGATCTTGAAACACACTTCGGAAACACCACGGGAACTTCCAAGCAAGTGGCCTTTGATGAGGTGGACTACCCACAATCCATCAAGCACTCGTTGCATCTTTTTATGAACCTCCCATCCACCGCTCAAGCACCAAACCAAAACCAAGACCCAACCCAACCAAGATGCACTTACCAACAGCTCCGCCATATGAACATCCAGTGACGATGTAATTCTCCAACTCCAAATCCTGGTCAAATACAGCCGTGTAAAGTTGTATCTTTCGATAGAACTTATCGCCAACCTGTTCCCAGTCGGCCGTCGGATTTGCCATTTTCTCCAAGTCCCCGTCACCTCATATCGTGTTGGTAGAGTTTGGTGGTTGACTTGTTGACTTGACGATGCTGGTGGCCTGGCTGGATGACTGCCAGGTGATCTGATCCATCGCCATACGGCGCATAAGATTAAGGTGTGGTCACAGCGTCGGCGCTAGTGCTCCTATTAGGTTCCATGTGGGGAAAGCCGATGTCATATCACAACTCCCCAATTCCAAACAACCGATCAAGCCAAGGTACTCGAGTACCTTCGACCTTCGACCCTCCACCCTCCTCCTTCCGTCTGCCCTTTGTATTCTTGCGTCGTCAAGTACAAACAGCCGGGTTTGATCTGGATATGGACGATTGACTATTCCTCGTGCGAGAGGCTTGATGGCAGACGATTTCTTGATTGGCAAGATCCACGACCTGAGTGACCTGGAACTGGCAGCTCTGATATGTCTTGTTGCCAAGGAGCATTGTATTATTGATACAGAGCCAGATGCCCTCGATGAGTTGGTGGAAGAGCTCGAACTGGTAGATAACACCTTACCCTGCGCATGTACAATCGCTGATTCTGATCAAGGTGGCAGCAAAAGTCTTTGGCCTTTCCCATGCAGTAATCGATTGCTCTGAACATACCACCCTCGATGACTTTGCACACGCAATCCTCTCCGTAGATGAGAACCCAACTCGATCAAACTCCCCCGTATTGTCAAGACGAGACTCGAGACAAGATTCATACTTTTTACACGCGCCAACATTCCAGCCCATCACCCGATCGCCAGTATCCGAAGGATTTGGGGAGAATAAGTCAATTGCGAATGTGATTATAGCCAAGAACCTTGATGAAGCTCCCAAGCAGGTTCAAATACAGGCGTTGGAGCTTATGCGGACCAAACGGATATATACAAGAACCAATGTTCAGAATTCGCCAAAACGATTTCTGTTCATTGCGTTGTTGGCAGGTGGTCAAGGACCCAGATTGACAAAGCATTTGAACGATCATATGTTTATTTCACACTTCCACGATCCCGAAGACGGCTTTCCGAACTTGGAAGAGAGATTTGACGATGGGAATTCGAATTCATCAGTGGTCAAGAAAAGTCCAAGTCTCGATGCTGGATCTTTTCTATGGCCAACAATTACAGCAGAGGTATGGATGGGTATGGGCTTTAGCAGAGACGTTTTCTAATTACAGGCAGGATATTGAGCGTCTTTCCGAGCTCAGTGAGAACGCTACAGTGACCGTAGAAGTGCTGGCGTATCAGCAGAATATCATAGCCTTTTTGCGAGTTCACCGAGCTGTAGCGGGTGGTATATCAGCCACAGCAACAGCACATTTCGAGAAGCTCTCAAAGCATGCATGCCTTTTTCCTATGAAATGAATACTCGGCGCTAACCAATTACCTAGATGTCTCGCTCCCCTCCATAATCTGGCATTCGCTACTCCTTCGTTGATTGCATTAGCTACGAGGAAGATCTATCCACATCGTATACATATTGTCCGACCAGAAAGGGAACGAAGTATGCAATGGGGTAGTGACGTGGATACCGTCGCGGCTCTTTTGGAAGGAATCGGACCGGAGGACGTCATTGAAGATGTATTGGGAAATTCTGGAGTGGAAGCACCACTTTAGTCTTCAATATATAATAAACGATAAAGCTGTGATCACCCATAATAATAATTCTACTATGATGCATCCCTGTATATTCTTGGTTGTATTCATCGCACCATGTTCGTGCCTCGTTTACTGTACCCACAGATTGGAGACCATGTCCCGAGACCAAACCGTGATAAATCGTCTATAGAAAAAATAGGCGAGATGACAGTAGATAGCGCTCAAGAGTAGTAGGAGCTATCAAGATCGCCTTTAGGGCTACCTACTTAAAGATCCGCTTTCTCTAGATCCCTAGGTAGGAAAATCTAAATATAATACTCTACGTATAAAAAGAGCCTTCGCCGTAGAACTCTAGCCCCACCACTTACACCATACATACCACTCTCAGCGCAACCTACTGTCCTCCCACCTATTTTCCTCAGACCCTCAAAAAATGATTTATCAGAGTAGGTATCTCCCGAACTTGATCTCGTGGGGGTTATTATTTTCTCCATCCCTCCAGCTCCGTATTTTATACTAGATGTAAGATGCTAGATTTAGTGTCTGGACTCCGGACTCTACCTAGCTGCATAGTATCGAAAATCCAGATTACCTTGTTGTGCTGTTATAGATTATTAGATATACTTTTAGTGTTGAAGTTTGAATCCGGACGCCATCTTTTGGTTGAAGTTTTCGTGTCGTTACATCTAGTCTATTCCTTCCTGCACTATCTTCGTAGACACGCGTCGCCGTGGGAATATGTAGATCTTGAGGGTAGAGGAAAGTGTTGGTGTTAGATGGACTTCTAATAGAGAAGAGGTAGTGAGGATCTCTTGTGTAAAGTTTAGGTAGTTGTTTTGTTACTTTACTAACCTAGTGGGAGCGGGCGTAGATAAGGTATCGACAACCGGTTGTCGATATCTTATATATATTTTTGTATACGCTCGGTTGTAGATACCCTATCGATAATTATCGATACCTTATCTATAAACAGTTATTAATAAATAGTTACTAAAATATCTAAAGTTATTAATAAATTATAACTTTTCTAGCTATATTAAATTTATTCTAAATCTTATATAAATTATAAAAAAATATTATTTAGTATAAATTATTTATTCTATATACTATCTAAAACCCCTCCTTTCTATAAATTCTAAATATACGCTAAAAATTCTATAATCTTTGTCCCCTCTTATATTGTTATTTAATCCTTTTTCCCTTTTTTCCTTATCTAAAGGTTATTTTCTAGGCTTAAAGAAATAACTACTATAATTAGTCTCTTTATTAAATATAAAGAACTTAAGTGTAACGAATACTCAAACTGGCTAACTAAACTTGGCTGGGTGTTCGCTGGTTGGTATGCTATGATAAGAAGAAGACTATCGGGTTGTTCACTTGGAAGTGAACTCGTTACTTGTATCAAAGATGTCAAACTAATATGATAAGATTGATAACTAAGTTGAGCACGAAGCTCCTATCTAATGGCAGACGTGCCAGTATTATATAGAACCCTCGTTCCCATGGTCGCCATGGTCGAACAGTCGCCCATGGCCGACACGGTCGACTCGTCGGCCATGTCGCTGGTCACGTGATTCTAACCCAAGGAAATCCCTGGATCGCTTAGCTAGCCCAAACGATCCCTTATTTGCTATAAGTCTATAGATGTGCTTGACCTG